TCGTGGTGGCCAACATCTGCTTTACAAACACCTGTGGACCTTGGTGGTGAAGAGGACCAACCATGGAGAGAAGATCTAAAAATGACTAGAAATTAGAAGGTCGCACCACACACCAATCGTGGTTGGTAAAATGAGGAGCGAGGAGGCCATGAAACTCTGACGTTCGGTACGCAGAAGAGAGCTTCAAAAAGTTCACGAGATGGTTGCAATGATGGTCAACCACAAAAGAAGAGGGCTTCCCGATTCGGCTTGCAAAAAGCAAGGTCACCCCTAGATGGCAGCCGAGAGCTAGCATTGTCCACCTTTCCCTGCGCTGCCCCCTAGTGATCAGTTGCATTATTATTTTTATTTATTTTTATACCGCCTTTACTATGGCACTCAAGGCAGTGAACACGCCCAATACTCCTTCCTCCTCCTATTTTCGCCATAACAACGATCCTGCGAGGTGAGTTCGGCTAAGAGAGAGGGACTGGCCCAAAGTCACTCGACCAGCTTTCGTGCCTAAGATGGGATTAGAACTCGCAGCTTCCTGGTGATTGCCCCAAAGTCACTTAGCTGCCTTTCATGCCTAAGCCAAAGCTAGAACTCCCAGTCTCCGGGTGATTGGCCCAAAGTTACTCAGCTGGCTTTCATGCCTAAGCATAAACTAGAACTCCCAGCTTCCTGGTGATTGGACCAAAGTCACCCAGTGGGTTTTCATGCCTAAGCCAAAACTAGAACTCACAGCCTCCGGGTGATTGGCCCAAACTCACCCAGTGGGTTTTCATGCCTAAGACAGAACTAGAACTCCCAGTCTCCTGGTGATTGGCCCAAAGTCACCCGGTGGGTTTTCAGGCCTAAGTGAAAACTAGAACTCACAGCCTCCTAGTGATTGGCCCAAAGTCACCCAGTGGGTTTTCATGCCTAAGCCAAAACTAGAACTCACAGCCTCCGGGTGATTGGCCCAAAGTCACCCAGTGGGTTTTCATGCCTAAGCCAGAACTAGAACTCCCAGTCTCCTGGTGATTGGCCCAAAGTCACCCAGTGGGTTTTCATGCCTAAGTGAAAACTAGAACTCACAGCCTCCTGGTGATTGGCAAAAAGTCACCCAGTGGGTTTTCATGCCTATACCAGAACTAGAACTCCCAGTCTCCTGGTGATTGGCCCAAAGTCACCCAGTGGGTTTTCATGCCTAAGTGA